ATAGTTTGGTGACATTCTGATGATTTTTATGTATAGAGGAGTACAGAAGAGCTAATTAGTGTGCCGCAGTATAGTAACTTTCTGTGGATATGTGAGTTAAAACAGAGTGAATGGAAGTGTTACAGGTGCGATCACAGCTGCACTGACGCCACTTCTCATTGTCAAAGCGAGCGCTGCTGGGAGATGATGAGGCCTCATTATTATTATTGTTTACCACGGAATGTTTAAACCAAAGGAAATAAAGAAAAACGTTACTGATGTAGGTATTTTCAGTTCTATATTGACCTGCAAACTATATATTCCTAACAGATGAATAATCTTTGAGACTTGAGACACATATAAATGTTTGAATAATCAATTATGAAACTAATAATGAACAAATCAGACCAAAATATACTGTGTAAAAAGATATGTTTTGCATAATTGAGCTCTGAGATTCAAGATTCAAGAATTTATTTGCCATTTGCAGTAAAACCACATTGATAAACTGTGCAAGACTTCCCCAGTGTAAGCCTGGTCGTACCACACCATAGTAAAAATTATATTTCATACTAAAGTCTGGAGGTGCGCCATTGAGCTCCGTTTACAGGTGGGAGGTGTTATCTCCTTTTGCAGATTGAAACGATTGGATCTGAGTTTACCGTCACATAGTTCGCCCGAGTGAGTCGTTAGCATTTAGCCTAGCTTTAGCCATTTCCTTTGCTGCTAACGGAGCCCATGGGGAGTAGCTCCTCTTTCCTCTTGCTCCGGCTTCAATTTCTTGATAGAACCAGACCGGATTACTTTACTATCGTATTTTTCGGCATTGCCAAACTACAACCTGCCCGTTCGACGCAAACTCTTGACATCACCCACAACTAACTACAACACCCGCCTCCCGCACTCGCTGATTGGTCGGATGGAATTCAACCTATTGTAATCGCTAACACAGGGACCAGACCCAGACGTTACATGATAATTACATGAAATGATAATTGAGCGGCGTGTACAGATGGCTAAGGCCGGGCTACCCCAGTGTGCACCAGAGCTCTTTCCGATTGGTTGAGTGAAGATGGTCTTTTCTGGATGATCTAAAGATGTGACAGAGGACACTGTGAATCACTTTACAAACGTCTTGACCAACTTCACGTTTTCATTGGCCATTGAGACTCAATACAAATAAATGCGGATTTAAAAACGTAGAAGAAACATGTTCACGATCCATCCCAGCAAAGCCATGGAGTTCAAAACATGCTAAAAACATTCCAATTCCAAAAATGTCTCCAGCGCTTCAAATTTAGAATCCAAATCAGTTTCCCGTGCTAAACTATGACTGCATTCAGGGCAGATTATCCAAGTTTACTTTAAAGTCAAGTTTGCGGAGACAGCCCCATCCATTCTCCTTAGTTAATGATGCCGGCAGAGGTGCGGACAGCCCGGTGGCCGTTGGTCCCACAGCCGCTGCTCATCATCAGCAGCCGTGGATACATTGTGCTACACTTTCCTTTCATGCACTGTTTACCCTCCTGCTGAGAGCTGGGACTGGCCCCGTTTGATCCTCAAAGAGCCCGCACACACACACAGCACAGGTGGAGGCTGCAACTTATATAGGCTCAGATGTATGCGGCGATAATGGGCATTTGAAGAGCAGGCTCACACACACACACACACATACATGATCACATACACACACATACATGATCTCACACACACACACACACACACACAGTGAAAAATGTATCCTATGCCTGTCTTTTGTCTTGATGTGTGAGGTCTCTTCCTGTTTTCAAATCATAGAAGTACAGTTTGTTGGAGGATGCAAAGAAATAAGAATGAAATATCTTCAAAAAAGCGTAATTCTAGCACATAGGGACCGACAACAATTATTCAATGAGAGACACTAGCAATCGCTCCAGTTGGTCAAAGCAGCCAAGAAGTGGGCATTGGATAAAAAGATTGATTTGCACATTATGGCTAGTTCTTCAAAAGACAACTGAGTTTTGGTGCAATGGTCTGTTCCTTTATCCAGTCCTGTCCCAGTCCCTGTTCACCCCTGGTCCTACCCCTTAATGACTTTTCTTGGCTGGGTCTATTTGTAAGGTACAGGGAAAAGGTTCAGTTGGCTAGTCTAACGGCTGCAAAAATGGTAGTGGCTAGCAGATGGAAGCCCCCTCACCTGCTGTATCACCACCAGTTGACGTCCCTCATTGACTTTATTATTGAAGAGTATGTGTCATAATATATTTGGGTTTCTCATTTGTGTTGCTATGTGCCCATTCATTTTTTTCCCCTTTTCTTCTATTTGTTGTTGTCGTGTGTGTGTGTGTGTGTGTGTGTCTTTTGTGTATAGTGTGTGATAAAAAAAAAAAAATCCCTCCTAATCGTCTATATACAAACTTGTGATTAACTCATTATTTTTATCATCCGTTTCATTTCATTAGAAACTGTTTTCCTATATTTTCATACAGGAGCGAGTGCTGTCAGAGCGGGAAAACATTTAATCAAAGAGTCTAGAGAGAAAAACTTCAAAACGCTGAATGAAGAGCTGAATAAAACATAGATAAAAGCAATACCATCCACATGTGGGTCTAATGTACCCTTTTATGTTTATCTCATAGTTAAAAACCATCTGTTAGTAAGTGTAAAAGGCTGGACACAAAGTGGACACACATTTGCATAAGAGAGAGATGTCACTCTCATGTGAACCGGCAAATACACAAGTAATAATGACCCGAGACACTGTCTAGGATCCATCCCAGAATGCACTTCTTATCTCTCCGCTGTCGGTGTCGTGATCTCTGCATCTGCCTCCTCTTGTGTAGCACCATTGTCTGCGGCCACCTGCAGACCGCACAAACGCAAATCCTGACAGATCAAAACGGCACACTCCATCAAATCCACTGCAGTCTGTTTACCCATGATCCCCTGCACAAACCCATGGGGGGCGGGGGGAGTTGGGGGGAGGGTGGGGCACAGCGACCCGGCCTCGGACACGCGGGGAAGTGGCCGTCGTGCAGGCTCATATCGGGGACTGATGTTGAGCAGCTAGGTGGGATAATTGGTCCCCTAAGCTCAATGCACACTATGCATTTTTAATGGGCATACACTGCTGCCTATTTAATACAGTGCAAAAAGCAGAAGAGAAAGAGAAAAACGCACAGGAGAGGTAAAGGATCCATGTTATGTTTTAATTATGTGGTATGTCATTAAACCGCCGCGCTGCTTTGTTGTTAATGTTCTCTGAGCGTGTACGCGATAATTGCCGTAGAAATGTCTTCTAATGTTAACATTATTCTGCTGTATGGCCTCATTTTCTTTAACGGAGATGGCACAAATACTGTTTGATTTAACCTCGCTCAGAAAGAGCAAATAATGCGTCTTCTATATGTGCTCCTCAGAACAATGTCTTCATGTTTTCCATGGCATGTTAAGAGTTTACATTGTAACGTATGTGAGGCTTAAGGAGGCGGAGACGTGGCTTCTACTGGGATTGAAAGTGTGGTGTGATTTTTTACTTCCATGTGGATCCTCAAGACTATTGGTCCTCCTAATTGTCAATCATTCTGCTGACATGTGCTCGTCAAATAAAAGCAGATAGTTATTTATATGGCACCTTTCACAGACCTGAGTCACAAAGCATTTGTCTCTCACTCCACACAGAGATGGCAGAGATCTTGTCTCAACAAATACATTTTTCTTTTCTAACATTGGAACCTTATTACAGTTTAATTACTAACAATTAAAATACATTCAAATAAATGTGCATAGATATGTATTATGTTCTAATTCAGTGTTCAATATTTATCGTTACATTACTATGTAATAAATACTTATGTAATACAGTACATTTGGAGAATTAGAACATGGAAGTATTGTCAAATTCCATAACGAATCTTAGTTTTCTAAAAGATCTTTCAGTTTAAACATTTGCTTGACGTTAGAATCACTACTTCAACACTTCTTGTCATTATACAACGTTATGTAATTCTTCAAATTCTCCAACAGCAGCTTTACAAAGTACACGTCCGTGTGCGGAACACACGCAAAATGTGAATAGCAACGATACAAAATGATTTGCAGTTCGTTAATTACATTTTCAATTCGTCTGCCAACATTTCAGAGATCAACTTAAATTATAACTTTAATAAACTCCCATTTTCTCGTCCTGTTTCATTTCATGTTTTTTCACTCTCAATTTGGCTGAACTATAAAATGACTGGTCTGCGATAAAGCCGTTAACTTTTAGTCAATGTGAGAAAATTCAATGGTTCAATTGAATTTATTTTCATGTTGCCTTAAATCACAACCGCAGTCGCCTCGGAGGACTTTACTCAGTTGTCAATTCACTAACAACAGCAGAGAATCAAATCAAACAGAGAATTAAACATAGAATCAGACTGTATAATCAATCAGCAAATAAAGTAATAACAAACACATAGGAGCCATTGGTTTCGTTCACTTTTTTATCACTCTGAAACCTGTAGATTACGCACATGCTTTTTGATCCCTCACTCTCTGTTCCCAAATCCATCCATGCCACCGGATTCTACAGGACCACATCCACCCTGATCATGGACTGTTCACCTCGCTGCCATCTGGAGGCGCTATCCTCTCCTCAAAGTCAAAAATGAGAGGAAGAGAGGGAGCTCATTTCCTGAATCCATAAGACTAATAAACCACGCCTGATTTTCTATATCTGTCTTCACTGTATGTTGTGTGCACTATGACAATTTCACTGCAAATAATGTGTATGTGTGACCATACAAATTCAACAATACAATACTGTGTGCACACAACACAAGATAATTGAGCAATATCTCTAAAAGAATATTTAAAAAAAACCCATCATACCTTCAATATAAAAAAGACGAAAAGATAAAAATAAACTTGGACTTGTTCCAATAAAGCCAACCAAACCTCTAGCAAAACAAAAAAAAAACACTTTTCAAACAATAACGAAGGAAACAGAGAGAAAAATCGAAGGAAATCCTCAAACCACTGCCTCTCTTCCCACCACGGCCTCAGATGGAGCTCCCCAGGCGTCTGGCTCCGACCACCAGCTCCAGCCAGGGCCTCGTGACCTGCCCAAGCACCTCGTAATGTTCCGGCCCCACAGCAACAGAGAGCGCAACCTTTTTCCAGGGCCGTCCGCTCTGGAGCTGGAGCCGCCGATCGGGGAGTCAAGAGGAGGGGAATGGCCCGGCTTGTAAGTGAATTAAGGAAACTAACTCGCGCCTGGCCTTGGCTAGAGCCCACGGCTCCATGTTGCGGGGCGCTGTGCCGGGGCCGCCACCTCGTAATGCCATTAAACATCTCCCAAAGTGGTGTTCAGGAGGGAGTGGAACCCGCGGGCAACGGATGAGCGGATGGACTTAGGAAAATAACCTTTACACTGGATTTGGAAGCGCGTCCAGAAGAGTCGTAAAAAAATTGCAATAATCCACTGTTTTTGATGCAAGTCCATTTTATTTTATGTAGTTTCTTTTCCAATGGAGAATATTGTGAATACTTTTGCATCAATCAAATGGAAAATACTCAAAGACGCAAAGATCATTGAGCAGAATAATAGTTTGTCTCCCGTTGTAATTATTGTAGTGATTGTCGAAGCTTTAGCCGTTGTTTACTTTGTGGTTGCCGGGTAACCACATCTGCCTTCTGTCTGTCAGATCTGATGCCAAATGCACATGCGACGTACAATTATACACTTATCTAGCCGAGGAAAGACTATAGGCAAGTAAACATCTTAATATAGCTATATTTAAGTTAAATGTATCATATAATATACCGGGAACACGATGTTGTTGTTTTAGCTGTTAGTTTCATTTCATCGCATGGAGCATAAAAATAAAATCCAATGCCATACGCGTTTGCTTCGTCCAACCACTTTTCAAACTCTATTTCTGTTTCTGTGTCCCGTTTAGATACCAATAAGAGAACCTTTATCTGTCCCACAGTAGTAAGACCAAACAGGAGCACACAAAATATACAATATGTTGTGGATGTAACTACATGTCTCTCTCTATATTCCGATAAGTTCCTATGTTTCAGAGCTAGCTGTAAATGCATCAATATCAAGCGCTCTCTCGCTCTCTAACAATAAGTTTCACATAAGTTTATTGTAAAAAGTAAGACATATGAATAAAACTACTACTTTCTTATTTTGATTATTTGGAAGCATTGCCTTACAGAGAAAGGATGTTAAGCGATGTCTACATAACACTCGCAAATTAGCAATACTAAATGGTGTATATGTGTATATATGTATACAGTATGTGTATGTGTATATATGAGAACGCTGCTATGTATGCATACTGTATGTGTATGCATACAGTATCTATTGTTGCTGGATATAGCCATAGAAATGAAGACAGTTATTGATGTTTGTAACAGTCTGTGGGCTTTGTTTTGTTTTGGTATTGGGTCTGTGTGTTGTTGTTGTTGTTGTTGTGAGGTCGTCAGAGGGAGTGTGTCACTACTATTATTATTGGTACATTATTGTTTCATCAAACTAACCCAGAGCTGGAAAACACAGTACATAGAAAGCAAGATTATGCCAAATCAAAAATAACCTGGCCAACCAATTTGCTTAGGGCTTTCTTGGCATAAATGAGCACCGACTTCTTCACCAGCTTAGACGATCAACTCTCTGCCAACCGAAACCTTTCTTTATTCAAATGTTTAGAGAATGATGGCTTATTGTCAGTAATGTGTCAATCTAAAATGCGATCTTTAGTCTCGGTGGATTCAGTCCCGCTGTTGAAAAGAGACTGTTTTGTTTGACGGGAACATACAGTATTGTGCTAAAGTAGTAGGTGAGGTGTGAAAACTGTTGGAGATATTTAATAAAGAGGGTTTATATACTGTACTGTGAAAAATCTGGAAAGGTTGGAGAGAAAGCAAGCAAATGAAATCCTTGCGCAGTTCGAGACCAGGGTGTGTTGAGGAGTGTGGAAGAAGCTAGAGATTTGAGAGACAATTACTGTATTTACATTTATTCCCTGCTATGATCCTCCTGTATTCTTTGTGTAATCCATGCAGTATTATCATAACTGTACTAAAACATAAGGGAAAAAAACATACAATTCTTACAGATCGCTCTCCCTTCTATAGCTATTTAACACATACCACAGCGTTGACATGAGACATTTAAATGTATTGATTGTATTTTTTGACAATTCCCCAAGCTCTTGGTTCAGTTTAAGGATGCACACACAAAAAGCACTTCTAGACCAAAAACATTTACCTGTTTTTGGTCTAAAATGAACAAATATGAAGGATAGTGTTGGTCATGATACTGTATAGTGGCCAAGTAACTTTCTACATTGCTCTTCCCAAACCAAGCTTAAAATTATAGCGTCATCTCTACGTTAACGATATTCTTACTTTTGTTGGAATGTCACTTATCATGGGAAAAAACATGTAGATTATTTACTTGAAAAACTTTGAATTCGTTCATTGGTCTTGTCTCTGTCCTGACCAGTGGGGGCGGGTCCCAGCTCAAAAGTGGCCAAAATGACGTGCGCTGACATGCTGCAATACCACCCCGGGCCGATGGGGGTGGACCCAGAAGAAGAATTAGCCAATGCTAATGGTGCTTTCAGACCGGATCATGCGTTGCGTCGGGTTTCAATGCAAAGTCTATGGTGACGCGCGGTCACAACGCACGGACCTCTCGGCACGCACGAACGGACTGTTCAATAATGACGCACGGACTTGGCGGGAAAGTGAAAAGGGAGGAGCAGGAGCGAAAAATCAACGCCCACAGGAGATGGATTCTGCTCACCCTTTCCTTGGGACGTTCGTGCGACAACCAATCAGAGAGCAGCAAAGTGGTGTATGTGTTCACCTCCGTGAACACATACTACTGTTGTATAAAGCCCGTGGAAAGTCTCTGTTCAAAGACACGCTGCAAAGCTGCATATTGGAGAAGATCTGTACACAAGAAGCCGCTAGCATAGCTCTGTTAGCATTAGAGCCGGCCGGCTACTTCCGGTACTTCCGGCTCGCGTCAGGACGTTCTGGTGTGAAGTCCTCTGCGTCTGAAAAGCGGGGCTTCAGCGTTTCAGCGTTGGCGGTCTGAAAGCCCCATAACACATAGCGTTGGCAGACCTCTCGAAAACGTCTTTACAGGATGGACCAAAAGTTGGCTCTTGGCCCAAAGCTCCGTTCCACATGTGTGTCAATGCTGAGGGGGGTGAATTTTTTTGGTCCACTCTAGTTTACTCGCTGCGAATTTTTTAAGTCTCTTGTTCAAATGAATGGAGCTGCTCCGGCTGACGCATGCGCAGATGCGTTTTTTCACAATTTTCTTGTGGGCGGGACCACTCGCTGCCATTTTGGATAGCTCCAGTAGAGCACATTTTTTGGCCCATTAGTTAGAACGGCGGAGATAGGCGTGACTCTGTCCGTTAATATATACAGTCTATGGTCCTGACGTAGATTTTTGGTTTTTTGGTACATGGTCAGTTCTCTTTCAGTTTCACCTGTGTCTCTCTTTGCTTTATCCCATTTTTTGCTGGTCTATTGTCAACGTCTTCGGCTCTGTGTCTTTGCCCTGGTTCCTGAATTCTGTTTGGGATATTTTGAGTTTGTTTTTCAGACTTTCATTCCTCCTTTACTTTTCACCACATGACAGTCTCTCTGCAGATATGACCAGTGAAGAATCCAAGTGAAGACACTTGCATGTCAATAGATGGCAAAGTTTAGAAAATTCCAGGCAAAACAACAACATTTGCACCGTGCATCTTTAAAACGGATATCAACTGGTATATAGGCAAGGCAAGGCAAGTTTATATGTATAGCACAATTTGTAGACAAGACAGCTCAAAGTGCAGAACAAACAAGATAGAGGCAGTCAGTCTATTGGTATTTATTGTATTTATGTATTTTTTTTTCTATGAATTACTCATTCTGTTTAGATGTCTTGAATATTTTGTGCATTTATTCTTTTTATTTTATTATTATTATTGTACGTTTTTCGAGCTTCTCTGCCCATCACAAGGGAAAGGGGGACGTGGGGAACAAAAAGGGGACAAAAAGTAAAGTGTGATGCATGCCAACCAGTGCAAAAATGTAAACAAAAAGTAACACTTTAATATAAAATAAAAATATTAAAATTTTTATTTATTAAAAATTTAATAAAAATAAAGAAGCATTCACACAAGCCATTAAAATCATATATAATCACAGTATATTAAAAAAGTAGATCAAAAGTAGACCCCTCAGTTGTTTGCACAGCTAAAAAGAACTGTGGATTTCATCTTTACTCAAATACTCAAGGGACCAAAGCAAGCATGAGCCCAGCCTCGGTATTTGACGTCGTAAAAAAAACAAAAAATAACCAAACCATGCCATTCCATCTCTATCCAACGCCATAACTTTTACATCTGAGACACAAAAACCAGGCCATCCAGGCGTCAGCCAGGTACACTTTGATAAATGACAGTTCGCCGCGTGTCCTGTGTCCCCTATTCTCTTCACCCCGCCACACACAGTTCCTTCGGGGACCTGGCATCCTCCCTCACAGCCCTCCGTGAGATCTTCACTCCGGCTCCATCCATCAACCTTCCCAAGGCCGCTGCCGAGACCCAACCCCCGCCCCCCCCTCCAGATCTCCCCCTTAAAGTCACCCTTACATACTCCCTGTTAACATGGGCCCCGTCTGCTCCTCTGTCTTCGTCCGCCGACACCGCCATTAAGCCGCTGTAAAGACGTCTCCTGTTCGACATCATTGCGCGGACAAAAGGCTTTACAAACGTTGAACGGCGGCGGTGAGTTACTGTTTTTGGGGTTGTTTAAATTGCCGGCCCTGTGGTGTGGAATCACGGCTGATCCTTGGCTGTGTTTACAACAGTTTGGCCTGCTTTACACTTGAGACTGTTTGTCGTGAAATGCAGAAGCCGCGGGATATTGATTGAATAGAATAATTTGTTTCTGGAGTTGTAGAAATGCGTGTTGACGTACTTTATCCTTGGTGTGTTTTCTAAATGCTGATAAATAAAAGTGAATGAAATGGTGCCGATGGTATACAAAGTTCCTCAAAGCGATTTCATAGTTTCAGTTGCTCGTGATGGATCAAAAGCGAGTAAGCATGAAATAAAAATAACTCCTTTAGTTATATTAAGGTTCAATTGTGGGTTGTTAAAGGCAGTCAACTATCGCCATGTTTAAATGGAAAAACTGAAATGGCCGACCGATTTCTGAGTCTAAAGTGAACATGACCTTATAAAGGACTAAAAGAGGATTAATACTGTCAAAAAAAAGTTGAGCACCCCAGTTTTAAGCAGCCTAGTCAAATGGTTATTATACTAGGCTGCTTAAAACTGGGGTCCTAAACTTTCTTTAACCCTAAATACTTGTTTGTCCCAACTGAAAGAGTCTTGCAAAAGTAAAACGTGAACAAATCCGACCACAACATGCCGTCTTCACGTTATTAGAGTAGATTATCTTTTGCACTTACAATACAACACAATTTATTCTTGTATAGCCCTATCTCAGAGGACTTAACAAAACCATTGAAATCACTAACACAGATCAGAGAGTCAACAGTTAAGACACAAATAATACACATATGAATTGGTCCATAGGGAGAGACCAATGTCCATGAATGTTGATAAATGTCCATACAGTACATGTTGTAGAGTGTCCTGGATAATCACCACAGTCCTTCTTGTAAGACACTATCTGCCCAACACTCGATTCCCGTGAGTCACTATTTGACACTGGCTGAGAGCTCATTGGCTGAGTGAGGGCGGCCTTCTCTGTATCTGTCTGTAAAAGCTGAAGATGAGGTCAAATTATACCTGAGGATTCATTCAGGGAGTGTGTGCCAGCGTCTCTCGTACCTCGATAGGACGCAGGCTTGAACGGTTGTAGACATATCCCAAAACGATGACATGAAACTGGTTATGAGCTCTTGGTCATTACATCTTGGGTCGCTCCATTGATTGATCAAGTTCATTTTTTTAAGCTGGGGAACCTAATTCTTCTTTGTTCTAACACTAAGAGTCTTATTCACATAGTAATCGTGTGAGGGTTGGGGTCATCAGGCCACGACATGCAGCAATCAACATGTTAGCTTGAAAGAACCAGCTCACTGAGTCACTCTTCGATGCTTTTGGTCTGACAGCTGATTGGCTGAGAGTGAGGGTGGTCCTCTCTTTTTCACATTTCTGTCTGAAAAAGCTGATCTACAGATGTGACAGAAGCCAACAAATACGTGCATATGAAAACTGGTGTTAAAACCATTTGGAAGGATTTTATTACATTCAAACTGTAACTCATTGGTTCGGTTTGAAAGTTAAATAACCCAGCTTTAATCTGCATATACACTCTGCACATAAAATAAGATTAGACATGCCCTAAATCACAGCAGTAGTTATCGCAGACTTACAAAATCATTGAGTTCGCCAACACAGATCAGAGAATCAAAGAGTTCAAACTCAAGAAATGCAATGATAAAAACAAATTGGTATTGGTCCATAAGAGGCAGATGACCAATGTTCATAAATGTGGATAAATGTTAAGTTACCCAGCTTTAATCTGCATTCAAGCCTACACAAATGCCAATCATATTTGCAATGTATCCCATAGTCCCATAGTATCTCATCATGACAACGTTTTTTTTTTTTTTTTTTACATAACAATCAGAGTTTTCATAATAAACAGCAGCACACCCAGGTCACAACGGATCATTTCCAACCCGGGCAATCTCCCTCATTTCCACCAAAACCGCACGAAAACACGAAACGCCGAAACGACGCTCAATGGTGCAAAGTGTTTACACAGCAGCATGTCAGGGTGATAAAGCAGGTTACATATAGCCATCAGGGCAAGGTCAGCCGGTTAGATGTGACTACAAAGCCGCCTATAGTGGTAACAGCTCTATGTACTGTACCTCCCCCACCTCCATCTGAGCATCGCACTGACCGCATTAGCGCAGACAGAGATGCGGCCGCAGCTCAGCGTAAGCATCTGGATCTCACAAATGAATTCTATTTTCTGACAGCAGACAGACGGATGACCAAACGCTAATCTGTCACCTTCTCTCGCCACGATCGCCCATCCCTCCCCCTCCCCCCTGGGTAAAGTATAATCCTTCATATACAGAGAGAGAGAGAGAGAGATAGAAACAAAATGGGTAAGAAGGAGGGCGCCGCTTATGCCCTCTGGCTGAATGAACACTCAGTAGCCACTTTGCTAATTCTACTCAACACAATGCAAGATGGATGATGGTGCTTTACACTTCACAGGCCCCTCGTGTTTGATTTGGTGTCAAGCGAAGGCAGTGAAGTGCAGGGCAGGGGGAAAGTTGGAACCTTTGGAACGAAGATTCAAGTGCTGCGTCAGGGCGGAGGTCATGGGGCGGACTTATCACGGGTCAGAGTTTAAAAGAGCTGTCGGATAGAATGCAGTTATAGACTCAATATTTGTTAATACCTACTTTGTGATAAGGCTATATCACAATAAGCGCCAAAGAAGCAGAATTGCAATACGAGCTCTTGAATCCAGGACACTTTCTATACATTGACTTCCCGCACATTTTTCCTCAGTTGTCCTCTAATTTATACACCATTTCAAGGCTCTTTTTATTTGTGTCTGAAAAAAACTCCACCAAAAGACTTAATAGCCAGTGACTGAGGTGGCACAGTGGCTGAGTGGTTAGCACTCTGGCTTCTCAACAATAAAGTGCTTTAATACCGGTGAGAACAGGGTGGAGTTTCATGTCAGTTTTCTCCTCGTGTCTGCGAAGGTTTCCTCTGGGTGCACCGGTGTCCCCTCCCACTAAGAACAGGAAAAAAACCTCCAGCTGCGGTAGTTCTGACTAAGCAGAGCGAGCATCAATATCCGATGGGTCTCAAGCGCTGTACAGCGGCGACCACTGCCCCTGACTTTTGTTTTTGCGGCAACTGAGGATGCGTCAATTGCAGAGGACAATAAAGTACAGTACAGTATATATCTATATATATATATCTATATATATATCTATATATATATATCTATATATATATCTATATATATATATATATATATATATATATATATATATATATATATATATATATATATAATGCCTCAATGCCACACACATGGATCATGGAATGCTTGAAGTTGTACAATATCAACAGGGCTCTAAGGGACTTCGTTGCAAACTCGATGGGAATGTGGAAGACCACCCTTGAGGCAAATGGCAAGCCGCTCGCACAAGTGACCATCAAATGTGGTATCTACCAAGGAGATGCTCTGTCCCCACTACTGTTCTGCATAGGCCTCAACCCTCTAAGCCAAGTAATTGACCAGACTGGCTATGGATACCGCCTCAGGAACGGAGCAAAGATCAGTCACCTCCTCTACATGGATGACATCAAGCTGTACGCCAAGAGCGAGAGAGACATCGACTCTCTGATCCAAACAACCAGGATCTACAGCCATGACATCGGGATGTCATTCGGGCTCGAGAAATGTAGCAGGATGGTGACTCGGAGAGGCAAGGTAGTCCACACAGAAGGGATCTCACTCCCAGAGGGAACAATAGCAGACGTTGAGGACAGTTACAAGTATCTCGGTATACCACAGGCAAATGGCAACCTCGAACAGGTGACGAGGAAAGCGGCAACTGCCAAATACCTCCAGCGAGTAAGGCAGGTCCTAAGAAGCCGGCTCAATGGCAAGAACAAGGCCCGGGCAATTAACAGCTACGCCCTGCCAGTGATCAGATACCCTGCAGGAATAATCAGGTGGCCAAAGGAAGAGATTCAGACCACGGATGTTAAAACTCGAAAGCTCCTTACCATGCATGGCGGGTTCCATCCCAAATCCAGCACCCTGAGACTGTACGTAAGCCGTAAAGAAGGAGGCCGAGGACTAGTGAGTGTGAGAGCCACTGTCCAGGACGAAACATCCAAACTCCATAACTACATCATGGAGAAGGCCAAAACGGATGACGTACTCAGTGAATGTCTCAGGCAGTGGCGAGATGAGGAGGTGCTGGAGGAGAGCCCATCATGGGAGAACAAGCCCCTACACGGCATGTACCACCGGAGCATAACAGAAGTGGCTGATCTCAAGAAGTCCTACCAATGGCTAGAAAGGGCTGGCCTACAGGACAGCACAGAGGCACTCATCATGGCTGCACAGGAACAGGCCCTGAGCACCAGAGCGATAGAGGCCCAGATATACCACACCAGACAAGACCCAAGGTGTCGGTTGTGCAAAGAGGCACCTGAGACGATCCAACACATAACTGGAGGGTGCAAGATGCTGGCAGGGAAGGCCTACATGGAACGCCATAACCAAGTGGCTGGCATAGTGTACAGAAACATCTGTGGAGAGTATGGGCTGGAAACCCCAAGGTCTAAGTGGGAAACTCCTCCAAAGGTGGTGGAGAATGAGCGTGCGAAGATCCTGTGGGACTTCCAGATACAGACCGACCGAATGGTAATGGCAAACCAACCTGACATCGTGGTGGTAGACAAAGGGCAGAGGACAGCCGTGGTGGTGGACGTGGCAATTCCAAGCGATGGTAACATCCGGAAAAAAGAACATGAAAAGCTTGAGAAATACCAAGGTCTCAGAGAGGAGCTGGAGAGGGCCTGGAGGGTAAAGGTGACAGTAGTGCCCGTGGTGATCGGTGCACTCGGGGCAGTGACCCCGAAGCTAGAGGAGTGGTTACAGCGGATCCCCGGAACAACCTCGGACATCTCGGTCCA